TAGCGGAATGCTTGTAGTCTATTGAATATGTATCTTAGGGTCGGTCTTCTTTTGTCTTGTACATTAATTTCATCGTGGGTAATGGGTATGTAATTTGGTGTTTGGAAGACGTAGAGGAGTGATAGCTTCTTTGCTTCATTATTTCGTTGCTTTTTACTGTCTCTCTTGTTCTCATTATGATATAATTACTGTTATGGTGTCTTGCTCTTATTTTCCCTTACGTTGGAACATTAATTTCATTAGAAATGATAGGATGACTATTGAGCTTTGTTCATTATTATCTTTATAGGAGGGTTTGTGCTTAGACAAAACATTCCGCATAGGAGGGGTCGCTTATGCATTCATCTGGGGAGTTTTCTTATGAATCTTATTTCTCTATTAGACACAAGTCAATAAGTGTGGGTTAATAGCGTAGTTAGAACTTGAATGACTAAAAACCTAGGGTTTGGGAAAAGAAAGAAAAGGAGAAAAAGAAAGAGATCATGGAACAATATTGTGAGTATGATGTATGTTGCCAATATCCAATCACTTATTTATATTAGATTGATATTAAAGAGCATTACAATATTAGGAAAGCAAATCGATAACAATAGGAAAACAACATAATAGGAAACTAAATGTGCAGAGTAAATTTCCAACACTCGTCCTCAAGCTGGAGTATAGAGATAAAAAATGCCTAGCTCAGAACAAAGGTTACTAAAGGTGGACTGTGCCAATGGTTTGGTACGAATATTAGTGAGTTGATCACTAGACTTCATATAAGGAGTGATGATCTCCTTTTGCATTAATAGATATGGGGACTTTGAATCGTGTAAGACATAAAAGAAAACTACACAAACAAATAAGGTTAAGGTTAGGAAAAATACAAAATGTCTAGTTATTCTAACTGTAGAGATAAACTAATTTGGTATTTGGGTAGTCTTGTTACGATCACATGATACGAGTCAGACCCCACTTTGTGTCCCTAGAAACAGTCGCATCTAGACGACTAACAAATTCCTTAAAATAAAAAAAAAACACCAACAAAAATCGACTCTACAACTATGAAAAGGGATTTCTAGATCTCGCATCTATTTAAATTGTGGGAATATAATAATATCCTTCATGAATTATTAGAAACCAACTTGTCAGATTCACTTTTTACCATTTCCTCTAACAAGAAAAGGAAGAAAGAAATTATTTAGCACTTTCTTTCGATACTGATTGAAATTTGTTTAAAATTGCATTGTANGAATTATTAGAAACCAACTTGTCAGATTCACTTTTTACCATTTCCTCTAACAAGAAGAGGAAGAAAGAAATTATTTAGCACTTTCTTTCGATACTGATTGAAATTGGTTTAAAATTGCATTGCTGTGTCAGAAGAAGGATAGCTATGCTGATTCGGTATACTCAAAAGATGCCCATGATAATCTATATTGATGATTTCACAAAGAATGAATTTTAGTGAATTTTCATTTATTGATCTTCTCTTTCACAGAATCGATTCCCCTTTGACTGTACAAGAATATTTGGAATTCAACATGTCTTGAAGCACATGAGAATACTCTTTTGCTGATATTATTACCCCTACTGAGTTATTCATAGCATTAGTTCTAGTTTAACGGACCCTTGATGCAGGAAATGTCCCAAGGATTGAAGACAGTCCTACTTTTGGATGGTCTCAAACATAACCTCTTTAAGTAAAAGCTTGATTAGTGCTTAAGGTTACCGGGTGAAATTTGGAATGAGAAATTGTGAAATGTATGATCACTATGGGAAGTTACACAAAATGGGTGAATAGACTTTTGACCATGCTACAGAGTCTCTAGCCTAACTTTGGCGTTTAGTAGCCAAGCCAATTAGATGAGAAAATTATTTGGCATCGAAAGAGGGCACATGAGACCCTGTACGAACTTAGCAAAAATAAAATTTAGTGGGGAATTCCGAAGTCGAAAAATAAAAGGGTGACAACTTTGATGCATGCTAGATAGGAAATTCACCAAAACATTACCAAAAAGGTGAACACTATCACCATTGCCAAGGCATTATAATTGATTCATATGGACCTAATAGGTCCTTCTCGAGTTGAAAGCCTCAGTAGAAAATGATATTGCGTACTAGTGGTAGTTGACTCCACACAATGTAATTGGTTTGCATTTCTTTTTGAGAAGCTAGGAATCAAAATGAAAGAAAGCTATACCATTGACCGTATCAATAGTGATCATAGTAATGAATTTGAAGACTATTAAGTAGTCATGTATTGGGATGCCGAAGGGATCCACCATGAATTCTCTGCTAGTAGAAGGTAGGAAGGGAAGATAAATTGTGCCTTGTTGAAGATGATGGTGTACAAAGTGATAGTCAATCTCGATATGCTTAGTATGCTTAGAAAACATCGAGTTGTGGGAAATCTATATATCATTTGTGTTGTCGCAATATATAAGAGTAGGGGTAGATACAGAGATGCTAACATCAGCAAATAGCCAATGTAACAAGACTATCTTAGCTGTTGTCACACCCTAATTGACTTGGGTGCATAATGGCGGTCTTGGTGGCACCTTGCACCAAGGCACGCCATGAGATTGAATCAAGATGATGCGGTTAAGCGGTTCGACAGATTGGTGCGGACTGTGGCAGCATCAGATCACCCGGCTGAGCATGGCAGTACGTGGTGGGCTCAATTGAGGCAATGTGGGTACATGACTTCGAATTGCATGGCATGGGCTGAACCCAGCATGCACAATGGTTTGTGAGGCAAGGCTGACTACTGAATTTGGGCACATGACTGGCACATGGCTGCTCAATGCATGTGACTAGGAGAATGTGGGCAGTTGCTGAACAAGGCTTAGTCTGTGGGAAGCAGTTCTGGGCGTCTCTAGTCAGATTTTGGTCTAGATGCATGCCAATGAGGGGTAGTTCCACATCAGTTACTGAATGGGTGGAACTGCTTACTAGGTGTTGCACAGAGATCAAGCTTGCTGGCCAAGTTTGCTATGGAATAGTAGAATGTGGGTAACTACCCTTTGGCAGATGAGGGTGTTATCTGCCATACTCTTTGTATAAATAGGAGTGCTTGGGCATTCTGATAGTCAGAGAGAGTATTTTGGCTTTGAGAGTTTCTTGTAAATTGTTGGGTTCAATATAGAAGGTTTGAGAGTGTTGTCCTAGTAAATTCGTGTGTGCCTTCTATGTGAGTTTCTGTCCCTTATTCTTGAAATTGAGTGGCTGGTTGCAGTAGCAACGCCTTCACAGGTAGCCTCGAAACGAAAATTGAGTTGTGATCTTGTGATCTCTGTCTTAGTAGGGTATTTAGTTTCAACAAATGAATGAGCAACCACAGTTTACTTCTTTCTTTTTTAGGAGATAAGAGAATCACCAGGAAAAAGACAAAAACAAGTCGTGGACTTGCCATCCATAGAGTCATTAGCCCAATCAATGATGCAAATTACTCTCTACTATCCTTAAAAAACCTTCGATGTTGAACCACTTCCGTTTGACGTGTATTTGAGCCATTTTCTTTGAGTTGTAATTTGTGAAGTCTCCTCAAGAATTCCTTCTAACTAATTGTACACGTAATCCCTATAATTTTGATGAGAGTGAATAATGGAATTTGATAGACTATTATGTATGGAGAATTGTGTGTTTGCGAGGATTTGATTATGTCTTTTCGTATTTCTTCTCCTCATCCCCCACCTTGCAATTTTTAATTAATCCTTTGAGAAAATACATTTATTTTTCTTTTGCTTAAAAGCTATGAAACACGGACACTGTCGAGAAGGTGACGTATTCGTGTCGGACACGTGTCAGACACCGACACTCTTGGACACGTGTCCGATATTCTTTTATCCGTGTCCATATTAAATGAAATTTTTTTAATATCAGACACGTGTCTGACACTTCTTTGGTGACGTGTCTAACAATTCTTTGGTGACGTGCACGACACTTCTTTAGAACGTCTCTACTACTAAACAATAAACATATGTTGAAATGTGATTAACAAAGTTTGAAATTTTGATAACATATAATTACTATAGTACTAGACATGTTAAAATTGTACTTCAAATATAATAATAAAAACAAAATATGCATAAAAGTTAAAAAAAAAAAAGAATTGAGAAAATGAGAGCAATTATTTAAATTATATATTAGGTATACATTGCTCTCATTTAAATTACATATTAGGTACACATTGTCTACAAAAAACAAATTGATAATTATTGACTATTATGATAAAGCTTTAGTCTAAAAATTTATACAGATGACTACACATAAGATTTACTTATTATAAATACTGAATCTTTTATGAATTGCATATCATTTTTACTATATTTGCGATAAATTATATAATGTTATATAAAATATAATTTTTTGTAACATATCCCTAACATATCCATGTCCTACTTTTTTAAAAAATGTCGTGTCTGCGTGTCCATATCGTGTCGTGTCCGTGTCTCGTATCTGTGTCCATGCTTTTTAGCTTAAAAGTAAATGTTAAGAGGAAAATTTGTAATGTTATAAATATATATGTACACACGCACACATACTAGCAGCTTCCCCAAGCGATGCACATTATTCACAATTTCTCCTCAATGTTACCCTACACCCACCCTCTGCAGCCACCCATACCCTACTATTATTGCACAATATCCTATTAGTTTTCTAAAATAATTAAAATAGTTTAAAAAAATGGTGGGATGGTTGTATGGGCCACATGGAAAGATTTAATTGAGTAGAACAATGTATTTCCATTAAAGAATTCAAAATTACGAGAATTAAGTAGTTATGGAGAGAAGGCTTCCCAAGGCCTCTTTCCTCTAATTTGACTCGTATATATGTGTCATATATATATATATGTATAATATTTCTATTATTTGTATATACTCATAGGCAACATCTTTTTGTTGAGTATTGAAACCTAGTGAATGCTTTTATGACGGAGTTTCATATTTTAGGTGGAGATAACAGTTGCAAAATACCCCAACCGAGTGCTTGTGTACGGTTTGGAAGGTGGTGTTCCTATGTTCTTCGACATCAATGGGCGAGGAACGGAATTATACCCAACAGGTATGTGTCCAGTTTCATCTTGCAAGTAAAGTGTAAATCCGTCTTAACCTTCCATCATTGAAATTCTTTCCTGTCATTGATTATTGCTTTCATTAAACAGTACATAAAGTTGTAGGTGCCTTAAGGGCGGTAATCCTATTTTGTTGGATAAGATAATGCTGAATAGAGGGATATCGATATAAATGCTTATTTTGTTGACCTATATTTGACAGTTTATTATGAGTTCATCTATTTTAGAAACAAAAATCATTTAATTGATTCTTGGCCACCAAGCTTTCTGGGTAAGTAGTGAGGACCATTGAGTTGTTTTTCCCAACTATTTCTACATATTCATTTAGAGTGTTTGAAGGCTGATGCACAGAAGGATAGTTGTGAGTTTGTTTTGTTATTCACATATATATGCATAGACATTGTGCATGTATAAAAAGATCTTCCTCGGGTACCTTGTATTATGGCCTTGATGCATTTGTTGTTGCACGAGGCATGTCTTGGGTTGGGAAGCATTATATTACAGTGCAGCCATATGTGTTGGTTGGCTGGACATTCCCCGAATATAACTCTCAGTATATCATGTTAAGTTCAATGCTTATGTCAATTTAATTGAGAAATTAGTTTTTGTTGGTGATCAAGTCTGTTTCTTTTCCTTGGTGCTTTAAGCTGTGTCCTGCAAGTAAATATTTTTTTATATTTGTTGTTTTTTCTATATGATCATGGCAGTTTATGCTCTCTGGAAGGTCCCTGAACTCTTGCCTGCTTTCATACTAAGAGGAGGTGAAGTTTCTTGTTTCATAATTGGAGGGGCAGATCTGATGTTCCCTGGTATCAATATACCTTCTGAAGGTCTACATTCTTTTTTAGCTGGGGAACTATGGTCCGTGAAAGTTCCTGGAAATCCAGCTCCAGTTGCTGTAAGCTTTTACAACTGTAGATTTAGATGTTTGAAACTTTTGCATTTGTCTGAATTCAATGGGGCTTTTCGTATTGATGGATACTGATTTAGGTTTTTTCAGGTTGGGACTACCACCATGAGTAGCACTGAAGCTCTTAAAGCTGGTTTGCGTGGGAAGGCTTTAAGAATAACTCATTATTACCGGGACTCACTTTGGTAAGTAAAGCAGGGAACATGACATGGATACTTGATTACAACTAACTAGAATTATGTAAGATGGCCTATTATTGTGAAATCATTTTATCAGGGAATCAGCTGATGGTTCTTATGTTCCAAATGCTGGCTTCTTAAAAGACGCTGTGTTTGAAGATCCCTTTCTATCCTCTACTAGTCAGAATTCTGAAACATGTGAAGGTGATGCTTCAGTTGCTCAAGAAAATTGCCTGAACAATGAAGAAGTGGGGAAGGGTATTGATATCACAGATGTCCGTTCTGACAGTGATCCTGTTTCCGTGACACACACTGATGTTGAAAAGGAAAATGCTGAACAAATAATTACTGATATGGGTGAGTTGAAGGTGATAGGAAATGTATCAACTGATGAATCTAATATTGATGACCAGCATTCATTATCCATCGAGGATGTAAATGCCCTTTTGGACAAATGCCTTCTGCAATCCTTGCATACTACTGTTAAGGATAAAGACCTTCCCATGCCTGGAAGTACGCTATGGTGAGATGGAAACCAAACTCTACTTGTTGAACTGATTGTTTTGTCCACATATCAGAAATACCAAATTGATAAGATTTGGGCATTGCATGTTTTTGTTGCAATCATGTGCTACTTACATATGCATGTGGAGTTGCATGGAAAATTTTTTGTTTATACTTTGCGGCGTTTTACTCTGTAGCCAATTGTATCAATAAGGAGTGGATGATGTTTGGCTATCCATTTTTATATGAAGAAAGCCAAATTTTATTAATATATTTGTGCTAGCTAGAATATGTTTAATAATGTAATGGTTTTTTAGAATCTATGAAGCATGGCCGCATATAGGATACACGGATATAATACGGCATAATATGAACATCTCACATAATAAATCCTAAAACGTTGACACATAAAAAACAGTAATGACACTAAAACTAAGAATTTTTAGTCAATATAAAGGTTTATATGCATGATAGATATTACTGATATGGAGTAAGCTAACAAGATGGTGTTAAAGTTTGGATTTTTACATGAAACTACCTCAATTTCATTTTACACGTGTGTTGTGGTTTGGATGATACGAAGGGTGTAGAACATGGACATGGGCATGGAGGGAGGGATCGAAAGTGCTTTCCGAGGGAAAGAAGATTTGTCTTCACATTCCAAGGAGGGGGACAGGGGTCTTTTTGGATTCTACCTTTATATCCTTAGTTTCTATATTAAAAGATTAGTCTAAGGCAATGATCAAAATATCGTTTTGAAGACAGTTCGAAAACGGAAAAGTTTTGGAAATGCAATGGAAATGGGGAAAAAATATTGAAACACATGCAATCAATTTATTATAAAGATAATCTTAATAATTGATTAATTGAGCATGTTAATTGGGTTAATGTCCATTTATACAAGATAACATTAAGTTGGAGGGAAAAAAAAGGGTATGACACAAGGCAGAAATCACTTTAATTAGTTTTAAACATTTAATTTTCAGAAAACAAACACATTTTTATATGTATATATGACCATTCTAAATTAAATATGACGTNAAGGGTATGACACAAGGCAGAAATCACTTTAATTAGTTTTAAACATTTAATTTTCATAAAACAAACACATTTTTATATGTATATATGACCATTCTAAATTAAATATGACATATATAACACTTTTAAATTAAAATGAGTAACAATTTATTATTTGCATGCTATTATAATAGTAAATTACAAATTTAATTTGTGTCGTCAAATTACTAAGTAATTATAAATACTTAATTTCAGATATTAAATATACCATAAAATTAATTGCAATTATTTTGATAAGTTATTTAACAATAATAAGCTATTTATAATTATAGGGGCTATTAACAATTATAAAGGAAAAATGGGGGTTGAAATGACATTAATGTTAATTAAATCAAAATAAAAGGTAGGGGGGAGGAAACTATACTGGCGGTGACTATATCATTACAGACGCATGACACAAACACATGAAAGATAGAGAGAGGATGATGTAGAACGGGAAGGACTATAAATCACAGAATAGAAAGAGAAGAAGAAAGAAGAGGGGGCAGAAGGGGTTTACCTCTTTTCGCAAGGAATCGATGAAGAAACACATAAATTCTCTACAGAGAACCACTTTTTATTATATTACTCTCTCTAATTAAAAATAGTTGGAATTACACAATTATTTATAAGTCAAGTCCCCTACTATAAAATAAAAACTACTTTCCTACTAAAATACTAAAAGAGTTTCATAATCAAACTCTCAAATTCCTATCCTACTAAAATTCTATAACAATTTTCTAATTGAATTTCTAATTACTACTCCTAGTCAAACAAAATATTCCTTAACTAATAAAATAATACTAAAACAAATAATAAAATTCAATTATTAAATTTAAGTTCATCCAATCCCTTTTTGATCTCTATTAGAGGAACTACGATGACCGGTCGCAAACCCAAATCCAATCGAGAGATGGCTGGATCAGATCTAGGTTCATGATGTTCGGGTAATTTGGATCCTTCTTCTCTTTTCAATTTTTTCAGCATTTTTCCTTCTTTCTTTGTCTTCTTTTATTTTTCTGTTGTTTTCTCTGTTTTGCTAAAGAAGAGGCTAAATCATTGATTGTGTTTCGGCTGAAACATCGCCGTTTTGACAGAAACAATACGAAATAGTTGTTTTTCGATCAAAACTCTTGATATTTGTGATTCTTCCTTAGTTTCGTGTTGGTGTGTCGAAAATTTGAAACGTTTTGTTTGTTTCGAGTGTGTCGACACGACATTTAGATCTTTTGTCTAAGGGAAAAAAGAGTTAAAGATCTCTTTTCATCCAATTTCCTCTATCTTTTGGGTAGAAATTACGTAGTGGGCTTTGTGGCTTCTTTTTTACCTCTCCCCTCCCCCATCAAACGAAGGAAACCTTAGCTTCTTCTTTTTTACTTCCTTCCACTGTTGCTTCCTTCCTAGCGAGCAAATAGAGTTACACTAAAATAATAAGGGGTAGTCAGTAATTTTCCCATAACTGATGTGTATTTAAGAGTGCAACTTGGGCCGGTCAACCCGAGCCCAACCCAAAAAAAATAGGGCTTGGGTTAGAATTTTTAATATTTGGGTTGGGCTGGGTAAAAAAAATTCAACTCGAATTGAATTTGGGCAAGCCTGAGGTTGAGGTCTCAGGTTGTCGGGTTCAACTCGAATATTAAAATCAGGTTAAACCCGATTATTAAATCGGATTGAACCCGAATATACATAAATATAAATATATTTAATTAGAATTAGTATTTATCTTCACTCTTTAGAATCCAGACTTTCACTTCACTTCAAGTTTTCACCCCTGCGCCTCCATCACTCTCATATCCCTCTTTCACTTGTCATTCATCTCTCTCTTAGTTTCCCTCTTTCAATTGTCATTCATCTGAGTTGTCTCAAACTCTCAATCTCCCTCTCTTACTTGTTATTCCACCCTTTGTCACTCCCTCTCTCTTCATCTGTGCCTTGCCCTTCACTTGAAAAAATCAGATCTACACTTGAAAAAATCAAATCTATACTTTAAAAAATCAACCCGATTTTTAACCTGAAATCAGCCCGAATTAAGTAACTTGAATTCGACTTGAGCCCGCCTGAATTAAACTTAGACAGTATTCGGGTTGAGATAGGGTTAGAGTTAGGATTAGGGTTAAAAATTATATACCTAGGGTTGACCTCTCAACCCATCCAACCCGCCCTAGTTGCACCCCTATGTGTATTTGTGGTCATTGAATCTTACTTTGGGATATGCTAGGTCTATTTGTATGGTCTTTGATGTGTGAAGTATTCTTGCAGAAGTCAGAGTTATGAGTTTTCGATTTTGGAGTTCTAGTGAGGCACTCCTATAGTTTGAATATAGAGTATTAGGTATTTGAGTTATGTTTAGTCAAGAATGATCATGAGCTGATTAGGGTTTGGTTGATAAAAGGTCTTGCCCTAGGTTTAGGAGAAATGGATTTTGGTGGTGGAATGAAGGCTATTCAAGGGGTGTAAATAGTAACTTGTGAAAAATATAATTTTATATTGAAAACTGTGAAGATAACACATAATCACTCCTAGAATCCCTTAAGCATCACAACTAGCATTAGTATTGCATTAGACAAACCCAGAAGAGGCTTTAAAAGCTTCTCTTCAGCTGATATCAGTTCATTGTAGAAGATTAGATATGTTGATTTAGGCTACAGGAGATCTCTTATTCCAACAAGGACCATGATTTATATTTGGAATAGAAAAACAAATCTGAATTGTCTAACAAAATTAAAAAATTAATGTGACTCAAAAACATAACAAGACTCATGATAAAACCCATAGGCCAATATTTTGATTCATTTAGAAAATGCTAAATACAAAAAATGCCAGTGACTCCAAAAAACACCATTACCCTACATAAAAATGTACTAGTAGAATTAAACTCAAAGAAACCATAAAGTATGACTCTTTGAATTCTCAAGAGTAAACTGTGCAACGTTCTTGGTGGGGGCATGCATGATCCAACATGTGCAAAACATCGTTCAAGGTCACTATATTGGCATTGACTTGTCTTGTGTTGTGAACCGTATCTTACGATACACACGTAATACTTGATAAAAATAGTTGGACATGGCGAGAGATTATGGTGTTGTAGAACGATATCGAGTGATACATACAATTCGATTACAGCGACTCTTCTAAGACTCAGATGAGTCATATCAGTGTGAGCCAATTCTTTGAACAATGATGTCAAATTAATGATTGGGCCTTAGAAACATTCTTGCCATGTCCTTTATAAATCTTGGTAGAACAGTGTTACTTATCTCCTTCATTGCTCAACAGATTGAGAAGACTTAGACCGTAGTGTGAAGATTTTATATATTGATGTTTGTATATATGATTAGTGGTATTCTAGTCTTGCTCTTTTGGTAGGGCTTTATATATGATGTCTCTTGACTCTTGTACCTACTTTTCATTATTATGGAATATCAGAGAGTAGCAACAATATTTCTTCTCTCTTCCTTTTCTATGTATGTGTTCTCTTCTTTACATAGTTTGATCCTGGGTTTCATGGTAACAGAGCCACCTTTTTGCAATTGAGTTAGCATTAGTTGGTTGCTTCTTGTTATTTCAAAGCCAAGGCAACAAGACGCACTACTCTTTTGTTGGGTTCTCTTATTGTCGTTTTGATTGGTTTGTTGATTTTAGCGTTGTATTAATTTGCTGCTTGTTGTTTCTTCTCTTTGTCGTCACTGTTGTTGGTATTGTTTTGCTATCATCATCACTTCTACTTATTGTTGCTGACGAGTTGTGCCAAATCGTTGTCGTTGAAATTTAAGTTTCAAACCAGACTTGATTTGCTGTGTGGTAGAGGTTTATTGTGAACAAAAGTTGCATGCTAGACTTTATTTGCTGGATCCAGAAGTTGTAATACCAGATGTTGTGGACTACCTAGAGATTGCTGCACATAGTGTTGGAGTTGTTGCCTAGTTTTTTAGGGTTTTTCCCTTTTTATCTTTTTATCCTTATTGTA